TCCAGCTGCTGAAATAAACACTCCAGCTGCTGAAATAAACACTCCAGCTGCTGAAATAAACTCTCCAGCTGCTGAAAGCAACTCTTCAACACTCAGTCCTCCCTTTTTAACTTTAATATTTGACGTGTTAGTGCTTTTAATTTAAATGTTTACACATCTAACCAACATTATCCAATAAAACACCTAGTTTTCTCACGTGAAAAGCAACAACAATAGTTTGTTTCTTTATTTTATCTGTTTAATTCACACAAACACTGACCAGTCTGATGCACCATAAAATATTATCATTATGAACATGAATGGTGATATGTCTGCTTGTGTTGCTGTAACGCAAATATATTCCTCTAATAACTTGTGTTTGTAAACAAATTAAATCCCCCCCCCCCCCCCCCATCTTTACAAGCTAATTAGATTAAACAAAACAGGTCTCACTTGTAAATGAGTCTTCGAGGCTCAATGTGATTTATCTATTTAAATAAAGGTTGAATGAAAACGCAAATAGAGGTTTGGAAAGTACAACATATTTCTTGTAAATACCTTTTTTTCTGAGCTTAAAAGTTCAAAAAGAAAGATATACAATCAAACTGAACTTTTATTTAGATTTTAAAGACAAATAAAATGTGCACCTTTGTTTTGTGTCATAAACGTGCTTTTTTTCCTCAAGCTTGAAAGAAGAAAAGAAGTTTGCATAAACATAACCATCCTGACTTATGCATAAGTTTGTTTTTTTATTTTATTGTCTTTATCCAGTTTGCTGTGTTTGTTTGTGTTTGATACCATGGATGTCAGAGTCAGAGTCAGAGTCAAAGTCAGAGTCAGAGTTTCTTTATTGTCATTCGCACCTCATGTGGTACATGTGATGGAGCGAAATTATGTACACAGGGTCCCAGTTACATCCAACAATAAAATGTATAAGAAAAACAGTAATAACATCTAAGATATGAACTAAGAAAAACATCAACTAAATATACACTAAGCACTCATAACATAAAACATTGAACATCAGCACAAACATGAACATGAGTCTGTGAGCAGATGTGCACGCATGAACACATCAACACTGAAACAGATCAGCAGCAACATGAAACAGATCAGCAGCAACATGATATGGTTTTTCACAGCGATTATTCTAGTTAGAGATTCATGAGTCTAACAGCCTCAGGGTAGAAGCTGTTCCTCAGTCTAGTGGTTCTACACTTAATGCTCCTCAACCTCCTTCCTGAGGGGAGTGGGGCAAAAAGTGTGTGTGCTGGGTGAGTGGGGTCCTTCATGATGCAGGTGGCCCTCTTCCTGCATCTGGAGGTGTAGATGTCTATGATGGTGGGGAGGCTGACTCCGACAGACTTCTGTGCAGCCTTCACCACTCTCTGCAAAGCTTTTCTTTCTGCAGCTGTGCAGCCTCCATGCCACACATTGATGCTCGAGCACAGGATGCTCTCCACTGCACACCTGTAGAAGGAGGTGAGGACTGAGCTTCCCAGACCAGCTCGCCTCAGCCGTCTGAGGAAGTAGAGTCTCTGATGAGCTTTCTTGATCAGGCTGGTGGTGTTGTTGCTCCAGCTGAGGTTGTCATTCATGTGTCCACCCAAGTACTTGTAGCTGGAGACCACTTCCACCGCAGATCCTCTTATGTTCAGGGGGGTGTAGATGTTTTTGTTCCTTCTGAAGTCCACAATCATCTCCTTTGTCTTCTTCACATTGATGTGAAGGTTATTCTCTTTGCACCAGCTCTCCAGGTGTTCCACCTCTTGCCTGTAGCTGGACTCATCATTGTTTGTGATGCATCCCACAACCGCTGTATCATCTGCAAACTTTACAATGTGACAGCCTGGATGGGTAGCTGCACAATCATACGTGAGCAGAGTAAACAGGAGGGGGCTCAACACACATCCCTGAGGAGAGCCAGTGCTGAGGGTTATGGTGGAGGAGGAGAGGTTGTGGATCCTCACTAACTGTGGTCTGTTTGTTAAAAAGTCTAGTACCCAGTTGCAGATGGAGGGGCTTAGTCCTAGTGTGGATAGTTTGTCCATCAGGGTTTGGGGGATCATGGTGTTGAAGGCGGATTTGAAGTCCACAAAGAGCATACAGACGTAAGAGTTTTTCTGCTCCAGGTGGTTGAGTGCAGTGTGGACCACAGAGGAGATTGCATCCTCTGTTGATCGGTTCTCACGGTATGCCTACTGATGAGGGTCCTCGTTGATGTTGATGGTTGTTTTGATGTGAGTCATGACCAGTTTTTCAAAGCATTTAGCGACTATCGGGGTGAGGGCCACTGGCCGATAGTCATTCAGACCAGTCACGGTAGAGCTTTTTGGGACTGGGATGATGGTGGCAGCCTTCAGGCAGGTGGGAACTGTCTCCAGGGTAAGTGAGGTGTTAAAGATGTCTGCCAGCACCTCACAGAGCTGATCAGCACATTCCTTCAACACTTTTCCAGGGATGTTGTCTGGGCCAGTTGCCTTGTGCGGATTAATCCTCCTGAAGGTACTCCTTACTTCTGCTGAGGTCACGCTGAGATGCTCTTCGTCCGGTGGTGAGGTGAGTCTGGATGTAGAAAGCACCTGCCATTCTCACAGGGTATGTGCAGAGTGTTGTGTGATTATTAGTCAGAACTTCATGGGCTTCTTTGTTTATGAAAAGTGGCTGCAGTCCTCCGATCTCATTTCTGCTCCACTGAGGAGCAGCCGGCCGAGGCTGTTTGAATACATCCACCATTACAACTGTTCCAGCAAAAGAATGATAAAGTAAATTAAATTAAACTCATAAAGATAGTCAAGGAACACGTGGAAGGAGATTGGTCAATTTCTCCGCATGGAGGAGATGGAGCAGAGACACAGCGGGTGATGACCAGGCAGCGCAGAGACATGTTCCCGTACCGTCTGTCGGAAACAATGGAGGTCTTTTCGCAACAAATTTACAAAATAGTGTTTTTGTTAATAACCGGAACATCAGATCTTCCTCCTCCATCATCAACTGGAAATAAGCGCCCACTCTGCCAACTGTGCTGTCTGTTTGTGTGAGTGGCATATCCTGTAGTAGGAGGGGCTTATCAGGACTTCTCCCACACAGTTTCTCTTTGAGTATGAATATATCATGCAGAAAAGACCGTCTCACAACTTACCTGTGAGATCTCATGTTTTATGTCTTATAATGAGCCCCAGTGGTGGGAAAAGTTAACCAAAAAGTTAACTTCGCTAACCCATATTCCGCTAACTAAAAAAAATAGCTTCACTAATGCTGAATCACTAAACAGGTAAAAAAAAAATAGCAGAAGCTAACACTAAACCGCTAACTGCTTAAATGATTGTCACCAAGTTTGCGTCACACGTTGTCGTTTCCTCCCAGTTGAAGCTGCATGACCAATCACGCCTTGTCATGTACTCGTTAGCTCCTGATTTGTTCCTTAGGCATTCCCTAATAGTAAAGCAAATTTTGTGTACGTTATTGTAAAGTGTTACCAAATTTTGTTTTAGCTGTTAGCGATTAGCAGAACTTCCTACCACTGACGAGCCCTGAAGAGCGAGTCCAGCTACCCTGCAGAGAAAAGTCATTCTGATTTCCTGTATCTGAATTCTTGATTTTTTTATTTTTTTTTGGTCGCTATCCAGAGTTTGTGACTCTGTCCGTCTCTTTTCTGCCCTAAACCAGAAGCAGGCTGCCCATCATGGTTCTGGTTCTGCTGGACGTTTCTTCCTGTTCAAAGAGAGTCTTTCCTTTCCACTGTCACCAATGTGTGGCTCAGAATGGGAGGTTGTGATGAAGTGAAGGCTCAACACAATCTCTGTCTTCCTTAGTTAGATCATTTTACTAATTAACATTTTATATTGTAGGTGAATGTTTTGTACATTGATCTGGAATGAATTTAATTGTGAATTGGTGCTATATAAATAATGGGTACCTATGTAACTATGTCATTGACATGGGATACTATATATCTCAATTATTAGTTACTATCTCATATTTATGACTTAACACCTCATAATTTAAGATACTAAGTGGCCGTACATTCTTATGTTCCTAGTTTTTGTAATAAACCCTTTTTCTAACAGAAATGAGAAAAAGACACTTGAATCATCAAATATTTAATGGTTCAGAAAATATTGTTTTTAATAGCCACATGACTTCATTAGAATAAAAATAATGAGTATATACTTCTTTTGTTTCCATCACTTGAATTACCATAAAAACAATAAAGCTGCACATTTTATCAGCAGTGAGAACTATAAGAAACAGGAGGAATACTGGTACTTATATTTATTTTGTAGTTTAGAGACAACAGTTATTTATTGGCTGCAGTTTTTAAAATGCCTGGTGCACAGAGGCACATGAAGAAAAGGCTGATCTTTGCCCCCTGAGACAGTTAATCATTCAGGTCCAGCACAATAACAGTCAAGGAGTTAAAAGCCTTAAAGAGCTGCAGTTGGTGAGGGTTTGTCCACCACTGGTGAGGCAACATGGCTGATAAACAATCTGTGGATTCATGCAGGGACTTGAGCTTTGAGAAGCAAAGTTGTGGATTTCTGATGAAGATCAAGAAATTCATGCCGATGGAAGTTTTCACCTGGTGAGTGGACACAGGAAACGAAAGAATACTGTTATTAACGTGAAGAACTCTGGATGTATTTCATGACGTATCTGATTATAATACACGGATGGAAAAGTCATTTTAACTCAGACGTCTTTAGAAGAAGGGTAATTATTCTTTTAGAAACGATAACAGGAGCTCATTGACGTTGCAGAGGTTGTGTAATTTGGCACATTTTAAAAACTGTAATTCATTAATGAACCCGTGTGTGGATTAGTAACGTCTCCTCCTCAGGCAGCTGGCCCAGACCCTGGCCATGGGTCAGGGGCTGGCGGCTCTGATCTGTGCCACGGCGGTCTCCTCTCAGTACCTGGTGTCAGACTTCCATGTGAACACGCCGATGCTGCAGAGCCTCCTGAACTACCTGCTGCTGTGCGTCACCTACACCACCATGCTGCTCTGCAGAACAGGTGACACTGGGCCTGCAGATTCATCGTTTGCTCCCCGTTTTTACACAAACTGACTTCATGTTCCTGTCTGGCTCTGCGTTGTGTTTTCCTGTCTGTGTCTCTTTGTGTACAATCTGTTTTTATCAAACTACTTCTGCATGCTTTATCCATCAAAATGTTTAGCTTGATCAGGGAGAGTGCTATAAGGAGTTTGATGCTTTTCAAATTATTAAACTTTATTTATTAAAAATAAATTCCCATAAGATAAAGTTCCCCATAAGATCTACTCAGTTCCTACAGAAACATTGTTCTATCTGAAACTATTTTGCTCTGTTTTTGTCAAATTCTGCTCCTGTCTTGCTAATCTTAGCTTAAGCTGCAGTTTTGCCAAATAAATAAATTTACTATTGGTTGTTTTGTTAACTTTTAATTGTATGTTGCTTAATTAAATTTTAGCAACAGTTTCATAAATCTTAGCTTCTAGTTATAGGATGATTTCCTGAAGGTTTTCACATTTTTAGCTTTTAGCTACTAACTTTTCTTATTCTTATTTTATTATTTCTTATTTTTTGTTACATTTACTAAATTTGGCCTTTAGCTACATTTTTATGGAATTTAGCTTTTAGCTAAATTTTATGGAATTTAGCTTTTAGCTACATTTTTGTAAATTTGAGTTTTAAGCTAAAGTTTAGCTAACTTTAGCTTTTAGTTTTGCTACATTTAGCATTTAGTTAGTTGTGTCTATCTTAACGTTTAGCTATAGTGTGCTTTCTGTTTTGCTGACTAGCCTTTAGACAGTTTTTCTTAAATTTAACTTTTTGCTGCATTTTTGTTAAGTTTTGTGTTTAGTTCTAGCTAATATTAGCTTTTAGTTAGAGTTTGACTTTTACTGTTTCTCTAACCAGCTTTGAACAACAGATTGTAGCTTTTAGCTACTGTGTTGCTAATTTTAGCTTTGTTACAATTTATTTAAAATCAGCCTTTAGATACAATTTAGTAAAGTTTAGCTTTTATTTATACTTGGCTAATTTTAGTTTTTGCTACTATTTTGACCTTTAGATTTTACCCATGATTTTGCTACATCTAGCCTTTAGCTAAAAATGGTAAATTTTAGCTTTTAGCTACAGTGTGATTTCCTCGCTTTCTAGCTTTGAGTTACAATTTACTAATGTCAACTTTTAGCTATATATTTGTTATTTTTAGCATTTATTTAAACTTTTGCTAATTTTAGCTTTTAACTACAATTTAGCCTTTTTGTAAATTTTAGCTTTTAGTTATAAGGTTCCTACTGTTTTGCTAACTGGCTTTTCTTTAGTTTTGCCACATTTGTTTGTTTAGCTACTGTTTAGCTGCTTTTAGCTTTTAGCTATATTGTATTTAATTTTGGTTTTAAACAACTGTTTTGCTAATCTTAGCATTTTGCTGCTGTTTTCTAACTTTAGCATTTAACAATGGTTTTGCTACATTTAGCATTTAGCTACAGTTTTGTAAGTCTTAGCTTTTAGCTGTAAGCTGGTTTATTGTAATGCTAACTAGATTTTATTTAGTTTTTCCTAACTTTAGATTTTAGTTATAATTTTACTGATTTTAACTTTTAGTTCCTCTTTTGTTTATTTTAGCTGCTGTTTGTTTAAACTGCGTTTTAATGAACAATCAGCAAATTTCAGTCAAATCTGACGTTATTCAGTGTTATTCAGTGTATTTATGCAAACAATGCTAACTTCTCTAGTTTACCAACACTTTTAGTGTTCATTTAGTGTGCTTTATGTTTTAAACTTGTTTATAAAGTATCAGAACAGGAAGTTTGAGCGGTGCTGTGATATTTATCCAGCTTCCTCTGTTTGACCCGTCTGAACATTTCTTGGTAACCGAACGTGACGTGGAGCAGCACTGATGGATCAGCCGTCCTACTGAAACTCCGGCCTGTTCCCCTTTAAAATGCAGGGGATGGTAATATTTTACAGATCCTCAGGAGAAGATGGTGGAAATACTTGCTGCTGGGGCTGGTGGATGTGGAGGCCAACTACACTGTGGTCAAAGCGTACCAGTACACCACTCTGACCAGTGTGCAGGTGAGCACAGGTAGAACAGGTTTCGTCATGTTTGATGACTTTAACGTGGAGCTGAACGTATAAAATAAGAGTCGAACATGATCTAAGGTTTCGTTCGTGTCTTTAGTTCAGGTATGAATCTGCGGTTTTCTTGCGTTTCCGTCCTCCAGCTGCTCGACTGCTTTGTGATCCCGGTCCTAATGCTTCTGTCCTGGTGGGTTCTGAAGACCCGGTACAGGATGGTCCACTACGTTGCAGTCTGTGTTTGTCTCCTTGGAGTGGGGGCCATGGTGGGAGCCGACCTCCTGGCTGGAAGAGACCAGGGCTCCGGTAAGAACGTTCTAGATTGGACTCCTGGCAGGGTCCAATGCTGACATGTTCCTGTTTTTAGTTTTATACATTTGTCTTGGAATCTAGCTGTTTTTTTGGTTTTGTTACCTTTTTCCTTTTAGCCATCCTATTTGTTAAAAAAAACAAAACAAAAAAAAAACTGTAGTATGAGTTTTTATAACTGCTTATTGTTGTTGCTGTTGTCCATTGTTGTCATCTTTCTTTGTTGAAATCAGGTCTCTCTTGTAAATGAGTCCTCGAGGCTCAATGGGATTTACCTGTATAAATAAAGGTTGATTGATAGATGTTTTCAACTGATTAATTTGTGCTTTTGGATGGATTAATTTTATTTATTGTGGGTTTTTTAATGACACGGTTCTAAATATGATCGCTCTATCAAACAGACAAACCAGTTTCACTGCCAGTGTTGCAGCTCAGGTGTTTTTCTTATCACCTGTCGCCCAAAGGCAAAGGAGGGCGATAATGTTTTTGCATCTTTGTGTGTGTTTCATTTTCATTTAGCCTTTATTTATACAGTGTGTTAGTTTTAAATATAACTTCATCAATTTCACACTTATTGAGCTAAAACTTGGTGTAGTAGCTGAGACTGATCCCCAACACATATTTTGAGGGTGAACAGATCGAACATAGCAAAACGGCTCATGAACCCCTGGACCAGATTTTAATTCAGATTCAGATATTCTTTATTGTCGTTCACGAAATTATGTATGCAGAGTCCCAGTTACATCCAACAATAAAATGTAAAAGAAAAACAGTAATAAGATCTAAGATATGAACTAAGAAAAACATCAACTAATATATACTAAGCATAATAATAGCATAAAAACAATATGCCGAACAGTAGCACAAACATGAGTCTGTGTGAGCAGATGAGCACGCATGAACACAGCAACATGAAACATGATGTGATTCTTCACAGTGATTATTCTGGTTAGAGATTCATGAGTCTAACAGCCTCAGGGTAGAAGCTGTTCCTCAGTCTAGTGGTTCTACACTTAATGCTCCTTAACCTCCTTCCTGAGGGGAGCAGGACAAAAAGTGTGTGCTGGGTGAGTGGGGTCCTTCATGATGCAGGTGGCCCTCTTCCTGCATCTAAAGGAGTAAATGTCTGTGATGGTGGGGAGGCTGACTCCAGCAGTCTTCTGTGCAGCCTTCACCACTCTCTGCAAAGATTTTCTTTCTGCAGCTGTGCTGCCACACGTTGAAGCTGGAGCACAGGATGCTCTCCACTGCACACCTGTAGAAGGAGGTGAGGACTGAGCTTCCCAGACCAGCTCGTCTCAGCCATCTGAGGAAGTAGAGTCTCTGATGAGCTTTCTTGATCAGGCTGGTGGTGTTGCTGCTCCAGCTGAGGTTGTCATTCATGTGTACACCCAAGTACTTGTAGCTGGAGACCACTTCCACCACATATCCTTTTATATTCAGGGGTGGTAGGTGTGTTTGTTCCTTCTGAAGTCCACGATCATCTCCTTTGTCTTCTTCACATTGATGTGAAGGTTATTCTCTTTGCACCAGCTCTCCAGGTGTTCCACCTCTTGCCTGTAGCTGGACTCATCATTGTTTGTGATGCATCCCACCACCACTGTGTCATCTGCAAACTTTACAGTATGACAGCCTGGATGGGTAGCTGCACAATCATACGTGAGCAGAGTAAACAGGAGGGGGCTCAGCACACATCCCTGAGGGGAACCAGTGCTGAGGGTTATGGTGGAGGAAGAGAAGTTGTGGATCCTCACTAACTGTGGTCTGTTTGTTAAGAAGTCTAGGACCCAGTTGCAAATGGAGGGGCTTAGTTCTAGTGTGAGTAGTTTGTCCATCGGGGTTTGGGGGATCATGGTGATGAAAGTGGATGTGAATTCCACAAAGAGCATACGGACGTAGGAGTCCTTCTGCTCCAGGTGGGTGAGAGCAGTGTGGACCACAGAGGAGATGACGTCCTCTGTTGATCGGTTCTCGTGGTATGCGTACTGGTACTGGTGAGGGTCGTCGTTGATGTTGATGGTTGTTTTGATGTGGGTCATGACCAGTTTTTCGAAGCACTTAGCCACTATCGGGGTGAGAAAACTTTCTGGAAGTTTGGAGCCAACACAATTCAAGATGGCTGCCACACCTGACAGAGCTCTGTCAAATGAAAAGATTTAAAATTCCTTTCTTCTTCCTTCTTCAGCCTCCAACATGCTGTTAGGTGACGGTTTGGTGCTGCTCAGTGCCACACTGTATGCCGTGTCCAACGTGTCTCAGGAGTACACGGTGAAGAAACTGAGCAGAGTGGAGTTCCTGGGGATGGTGGGCCTGTTCGGCACCATCATCAGCACCGTACAGATGTAAGTTTACATCCGAGTCGTTGGCATCTGTTCGTTCAGCGTCATGTTTTAATCTGCTGGGCTTTTATTTTGTTAACTCATTCAGGGTGATCCTGGAACGAAGCGAGGTTTCCAACATAAAGTGGAGCTGGCAAGTTGGTCAGTATTCCATCCAAACAGTGTAAACATCATGTAAACGGCAAGAAAACACAAACATGAGATGTCACGCTCAGAGTGTGTGTTGAGGATGACTCTCAGCTACTACCACACTGAAGCTCAGTCTGTAAAATGGTCTGAATTATACTTATTTTTATCAAGTTAATTAACTGTGGCAGCCATCTTGAATATGGGTGACTTCCAAAAGTAATCAGTTGTAGGTGTTTATCCATTGATTATTACATGAACATTTCCGGACAATCCATCCAGTGATTCGTGAGATATTTTGCTAACAAATGTACAGAGTTGACTGCTATATTTTAAATCTAAACCTGTCCAATCTGTTGGTGACTGTCTCAGCTACTACCACCCTAAAGTTTAGCTCAGTATCTATAAATTTGACCAAGTAACCATTTCTATAGCTGTGCCCCAATCCAACGGCTGCATCCTTCGAAGACCGCATTTGAAGGCCGCTTACGTCATAGCGACGCGCCGAGGCCTGCCTGTCCCAATTCACAAACACTGACTTCTGGTCTACGTGGTCTTTGAAGGACCCGGCCTACGTCGACCGGGTCCTTCGAAGGATGCAGCCGTTGGATTGGGACACAGCTTATGTCTTTAAAAGTCAGTTGGCTGTTGGCAGCCATCTTGAATATGTAAATCCACTAGGAACATACTTTCTGCAGGTTTTGTCTAAATTCTGCTGCAGCTTTCAATGGTTTAGGGAAGTCTTTAAGTCTGGTTCTGTTTTCAGAGTCGTCCCCTGGATGTAGTGATGAGTTGAAGATTGATAAGCGAGCATGTTTCTGTAACTCTTCAGTTTGTCCGTGGTCTAACAGCTGAACGTGTCTCCTCTCAGGGCTCCTGTTCTCTGCGTACGCTCTCTGCATGTTTGCTTTGTACAGCTGGATGCCTGTCGTGATGAAACTGAGCAGTGCCGCCTCCGTCAACCTGTCGCTGCTCACCGCCGACCTCTTCAGCCTCTTCTTCGGGATCTTCCTCTTCCACTACAACGTGAGGACGTGCACCATTTGTTGTTTATTATTCATTCTTTGTCGAGAGTGTGTGGAAGTCTGTTTTCTGCCGTTCTGAAGAAAACTAATTAACTCACAAAGTCAGAATGATGAAATACAGAACCATCTCCAAATGGTGACTCTGCATCAAATATTTATGACTTAGCATTTTAAAATTATGACACATAACGATATTGGAGGGAGGGGGGGTTCCCCTCTTCAAAGGGAGACCAGAGGGCGTGCTCCAACTATAGAGGCATAACTCTCCTTAAGGTCTATTCAGGGGTACTGGAGAAGCGAGTCAGATCGTTAGTCAAACCTCAGATCCAGGAGGAACAATGTGGGCTCCGTCCTGGCCATGGAACACTGGATCAGCTCTTTACTCTCACTAGGGTCATCGAGGTGTCATGGGAGTTTGCCCATCCAGTCTACATGTGTTTTGTGGACTTGGAGAAGGCTTTCGACCGTGTTCCCCGAGGTACATTGTGGGGGATGCTCCGCGAGTATGGGATTGGGGGCCTGTTGCTACGGGCTGTTGGGTCCCTATACAAGCGGTGAGAGTCTTTGGTTTGCATTGCCGGCTGTAAGTCGGACCCCTTCAGGCTGGGAGTTGGACTCTGTCAGAGCTGCCCGTTATCTCCGATTCTGTTCATAACTTTTATGGACAGAATTTTTCGGTGCAGCCAGGGACTGTGTTTGTGAAACACACATTGTAAAAAAAAAAGAAAAAAAAAGGCTTTTTATAAGAACTATGTGATATGAAAATGATGAAAATCTACATGTGACGAGCAGTAATTAAAATGTTTTCTTTGATTTTGGATTCCACCTAAATTCAGCAGCTTTCCATACAAAGTCTGTAGTAAATGTCAGAGTCAGAGAGATTTATTTGTCATTCGCATCTCATGTGGTACATGTGGTGGAACGAGATTATGTACACAGGGTCCCAGTTACATCCAACAATAAAATGTAAAAGAAAAACAGTAATAAGATCTAAGATAAACAAGAAGGATTTATCAACTCATTTATGAAAGAAAAGTGTCTAATAAGAAAGATGAGTATATTAAGATAAGATTCATTCAACCTTTATTTAGACAGATAAGGCACATTGAGCCTAGAAGACTCATTTACAAGTGAGATCTGTTTAGACAGACAAAAAGCAGTGAAACTGGACACATGTAGGTACTTTTTTCCCTGCCTGAGAAGAAAAACTCTGATATTAAAAAACACCTCGCACAAACAAACACATAGTGACATAGACATTCTGCAGAAGGGGGAGACGACAAGAGCGGTGAGCATGTCCATAGACGCTCTTGAGGGCACTGTAAGAGTTCTGTTAATGATGTAATAATAAGCCAGTGTCCTCCGAGATCTGTAAACATTCTCGAGGTATGTCGGGGAATGGCCAAGGATAACGTCAATGAGAATCCAAGAGTCCTGAAATGATGACACAATGTTTATTCAGCTGGTTTCTTCTGGTTATCAGTTGGAAATTCATCAGGGAGGGGGTGGTGAGCATCAGATCACATGTTCTCCAGGCAAATTCAGATAAGATGGCTTTCAAGGCCAGCCAAGGGAGCCAAATTCAGATAAACACAGATGTTTTGGGGACAGGCAGAACTTAATGACATCTACCTTGAGTCTGTGTTGGTCGACTCGGTTCCGAAATGTCCAAATTACATGGCCACACCGATGGAGCACGACTGAGTAAAATCCCAGAGATCTGATCCATTCTGCCCAAAGCATTTGAGTCTGGGTACTCGAGGCACAAACCAAGCCATCATAAAGGCAATCAGCGTGATCGGGTCCAAATTTGCTGCCAACAACTTCCTTGATTGTATATAAAACCAGCAACCAGCCGAATCCAAAAAGCAGGAACCAGTTAAATCCAATTAAATATGCGTCCTTAAAATCCACAAATGGCAGCAGAGATCGACACATCATCAAGTCTTCCAAGTCGATGAGATATCCAGCTGCATGCATGCCAACAGGGCAAATCGGCTCGCCTAAAGCCTGTCTTCTCTTCGAAGAAATGTTATCAATTGTGTTGAGAGACCAACTGATCAAAACAAGTCCATAATTATGGTTCAGAAGATATGAAGAGAGTCTCGCAAGCAGTTTCACAGACAGACAGAGCAGCAAAGCAAAGCGGAAAGGGAAGGGAGGGGAAAAGCGTGCGATCTCGGCAAGAGCAAGTGGTCAAGTGATAAGATAAGATAAGACAAGATAAGATAAGATAAGATAGAACTTTATTGATCCCGCAGGAAATTGTTGTGCCAGAGTTTTAGTACCAAGGAACATACACAAAATCACACAAGATAGAAAAAATAACAGAGGTACAAAAATACCAACAATTAAGTTCTAAATCAGGTCAGGTGCAGACAGAAACATTAACGTGTTTATTATGGTGCAGGATTAATTTTATTGTTCTATGTGTAGAAAGGGGGAGGAGTTGAAAAGTTTGATAGTCAATCACAGAGAGAAAGGACTTCTGTGGCGTTCTGTGGAGCACCTCCGTGGTCTCAGTCTACGACTGAAGGTGCTGCGTTGAGTCCAGTGTGTCAAGCAGGGGGTGTGACGTGTTGTTCAGGATCTGGAGCAATTTCCTCAGCATCATATGCTCAAACACCTCTGCCAGGTGTTATTATAAATACTATAATAATAATTATCATCATTATTATAGTAATATTATAATTTAGTTATAATCATATTATTATGTTATTAATATTATCATTACCATAGAGAGCAGATACAACAGAGCTGCTGCTGTTATGGTAAATGGACTGTACTTATATAGCGCCGTTCTATCTTATCGAGATACTCAAAGAGTTTTACAACACAATCTGTGCCCTCTTTACACATTCGTACAGCACTCTACTATATCTATACAAAGAATAATCAGTGTTTTATCAGAATCAGAATCAGAATAAACTTTATTGGAATTGCACCGAGGTACAACGCGAATATGTACGTACAGTCGTCCGAAAGATGGGCGGAGTGCACGAAGCTGCAACTACAGGAGAGCGCTGCCATTTTATCCTTATCAGATAATAATCTTAGATTATTTATCACATTCATACACCAATGGAACACACATAGGAGGCAATGAGAGGTTCAGTGTCTTGCCCAGGGACACTTTGGCATGTGACTGCTGGTGGAATCAAACCCCCAACTCTTGCATTGGAGGACGACTGCTCTAACCACTCAGCCACAGCCGCCACATGATGACATGTTGACATCCAAATACAAACTTCAAACCACAATAATCACAACTTTAAGAGAAACGAGCCTTAATCTTTCTTGAAGAAGTGAATATTGCAGCCGTCTTTCATGGTTGAGTCTGAAAGTTAAAAATCATAATAATAATTTTATTGTAGTGCATTAATGCTTCCTCACTGCATCTATCATCTTTGTAAATATTGATATCTGTTCGTTCTGTGACCCACCTCAGTTCTCTGGACTCTACGTGGTCTCCCTGGTGGTCATCCTCATTGGCTTCATCACCTTCAACGCTGTCCCAACACCTACTAACCCCACAGACACCTCCTCTTCTTCCTCACTCTCTGAGGAAGGCTACTATGACAACACTGTGGCCACTGACAGTGGCTTCACCCAAAGGGAAGTGGCTGGTATAATCCCAGCTGAGGTGAAGGGAGAGGAGGATGAAGAGGAGCTTCACCAAGCATGCTGGGAGGAAAAAAAGAGGAAAACGAGCACTTTGGGGTCATCGCAGAGTGTTCGTGATGAAGAACCAGTTGTTGAACATAGCACCAAACTGTGACCCACAGCATGTTAAAGAGCTAAAAGTATTGTTGAACCTTTATTGACTTGTTACACAAACGGCAAATTAAAAAAAAAAAAACAAAGATGCTGTAAATAATTATTATAACTCGTGTTTTCTGTGTGGGATCCATGTTGCTTGCTGCTGAAGGCCAAAGGGTGATGACTAAATAACTCCCAGGAAGTAATCAGTGGATGTTCTTTTACAACAGATTAACTTTTGGAGCCAAACACATTCAAGATGGCTGCCACCACTAAGGAGATTGTGACAATTTCAGGCAATAATTTGGGAGAAATATTAATATATCCCTGATTTATTTAACTGGGATCATGTGTACACAATTTTGTTCCACCACATGTACCACATGTGGTGCATATGACAAATAAAGAACCATGAAAAATTGAATCCTTGAATTTAATGGTGGTCTGATCGTATTTCCAACTCGTTTTCAACATAAAAGAAACCTGTAGTTTGTCCTTCTTCCATTTGCGCTCAGCTTTCCTACACTGATGATGGCTGCTCGGGTGGTCTTATTTAACCAAGACTGTGGTGTGAGCTTGGGGTGCCTGATTTTTAACAGGGTCTTAACAGACTAATTACTAGAGGACAAATTGACCTCCTTTCCTTAAATGATTTGTTAAATTGAATAGTTTTCATTTGATAGTATTTCTATGTTAACGTGATTCTTGACCTGCCATTGTGTATCTATTCCTCTTTCCTGATCCTCTCAAACCCAGCCGGTCAAAGCAGATGGCCGCTTGTCCTGAGCCTGGTTCTGTTAAAGGGTTCTTCCTCATGAGGGAGTTTTTCCTTTCCACTGTCGCCTTCATGCTTGCTCAAGATGAGAGTTCTGCGATGGAGTTAAACTCAAAGCAGTCTGCTCTTCAGATAAATGGTGTTAAATTATTATTTTTATATATGAATGTTTCTGTTCAGTGCCCTGAGATGACTTCTGTTGTGACTCGGCGCTTTATAAATGAACTGAATTGAATTAACACAAGACTCCTGATGCTGAGAGAGCAGCATGTGTAGTAAGACATACAGAGCGCCCAGAGTCAGTAACAGAGTTACGCAGCGGAGAAAAGAGCAGCAGTGGAAGAGTTATACAGTATATACGACAACTCCTGGCAGGAGCGGAAGATTTAAACTCACAGACAAGGGAGGTGTCAAATAAAATAGTTTGTGATCAGAAAAAAACAGCATCCCTAATTTCTAAATTAAAAATGAATGAAGCATAAGTTAAAACTAAATCAAGTGTATGACCCTGCTGTTGAGTGGGACCCACAGCACACTACACAAAGTTAAAAGACAGGATAAGATTTAAAAACTCGTGAGCCAAAGGCTTTTCAGAGCAACACACATGAATATTAACACACACACACAATTAAAACCCGGTCATATTTGAGCAATATTCCACAAAAAAAGTCATGGAAATTATTCATAAAATCATTCGTATATGTTTATAATAAAGACGTCAGGCTAGAGATTTATGCTTTTTTTTTAATTTAATTTTATTTAAATTCTCCCAAACAGCTTACCTGTAAGACACAAACCTCACAAAAAGAAAAATCAGAAGTATCAAACTTGCTTTATTTTTCTATGGCTGACATTGACATAAGTAAAGAAAAATAATAAATACAGTAGTAGAATAACAACAATTGTAAAATGCTTGTCAATAACAAAATAACAGCATTTTTCATATTACATTTCTATTTAATAATAAATTAATGACCATAAAATTATATATAAAATCAGAGTACACTGATAAGTTTCCAAGAAATAGGTAAAAATTTATGTTACAGCTTATTCCTGTACAGTAGTTCATGTGACCACCACAGACGTGTATTTATGTGTAAGCACGCGCCAGACCAAAAGAAAGATGGCTCCTTTAAGATGGTAGCATGTTCCACCATCTTGTACCGCCCAGGGGGATAGTTATTTTTTATCTTCTCAAATATATAAATTCATCAACGTTTGAAACGATATATTTCATTCATTGGTTGAATGTTACAATTTATAGTAAATAGTATGATGAGTACATCTGTTGTTTTTGTGTTGTTTATTTTATAATAAAAATGTTAATTTAGCTGTCCACCCCAGCCGAGTGATGGTATCGTCCACTCCCACGGAAACGCCGGCTTCAGCTGAAACAGCGCAGGAGAAGCAGGTGGAATTAATTTGTCAGTCGGAAGAAAGCTGAGCAGAGTAAGTGCGGAGAGGAATTTCAAGACTTTCTATCACGTCAGCTGTCAAAGGAATCAGTCACATGATTTTAATTGGTTTATACAAACACTGATTTAAATTGGGCGTACGTTAAGAAGTCGCCAAACGTTAAGCGTTTCTGTGGAACCCGTGCTGTGCTGCTAACGTTAGCATGCTAACAAAAGAAGTCTACCGTTAACCAAGACAGATTTATTCCAGTAGTGTTCGGAACTAACATACGTATTTCTGAAGTCCTAATTAACCCTTCTACTTGGTTTCCAATCGTTAACATTACAGTGAGTCGTTAAAACGCGTATTATGGAAGCCCACTTCAACACGGTTGGTGCTAAGGTTAGCTAGCATCAACTGCTGTCATTTTGACGTTTTAAACTGTCACTTCAGATTTGTTTCTCGTACTGAAACAGGACACCGTGGAGTGGCAAACAAAAGGTTGGGTCAATATATTTTAAATTCCTCTGAAGGTTAAAAACGGCGTTGTCTTTGTATGGATCCGTCACAGAGCTCTGCTCCCTCCGTGTTGTTCGTGAAGACTGCGGGTTTTGTCGTTTTGTTGTGAAGCAAACTTCAAGTCTGGACACGGTTCAGAGGGAAAATGCACCTTGTGACGCAGTTTGGTTCCTCTTGCTGTTCCATGATGACAGATGGCTTAAAGCTGAATCAAACACGGGCTGATTAGAAACAGAGTAAAGCAGCAAACAAAATTCATGTTCGTTTTGTTGACATTTAACAAACCATATTTGAATTAAACACCTAGTTAAGTAACCATACTTTATTGCTAAACACCCCCAAAAATAAAGGTAATAAAGAATTAAAATGTTTAAGATGGAATAACATATTTAGACAAATGCCTCCATAAATAATTCACAAGACTACCCTTCTTTAAGGAGAAAAATGTGGTAAACTTTACCGCTATATCTTGTGCCCACGTCTGCTGGTCAGGGGCACGACTTTCCTCTATGGTTTAGCTGTTTGGCTTCAGCGCGTCTGATGAAAATAAATGGGTGACGTGGTGTTTGCAGAATGTGATGACGTTCAAGTGTGTTGGAAAGGGCCATGGCTAAAACCAACCTGCATGACGGTGGCCCTTGAAGACCTGCTTGACCCTAACACCTTTGGCTTATTGTAAGCTGAGGTTTCTAAATTTCACTTGGAGAAATGAGTTGTCTAATTAGGTACCCACATTTGAGTAGATTTTTAATGGTCAGAGAGAAGTAACAAAATCCATCCATCCGTCATCTTCCACTTGATCTGAAGTCGGGTCGCGGGGGCAGCAGCCCTAGGGAGGCGCCCAGGAAGCATCCTTACAGATGCCTGAACCACCTCCACTGGCTCCTCTCGATGTGGAGGAGCAGCGGTTCTACTCCGAGTCTCTCGGGGATAACTGAACTTCTCACCCTATCTCTAAGATAAGAGTCCAGCTACCCTGCGGAGGAAACTCGTTTTAACCGTCTGTGTCTATCTCATTCTTTCGGTCACTACCCAGAGTTCATGACCATAGGTGAGGTTAGGAACATAGACTGACTGGTAAACGGAGCCTTACAGCTCAGCTCCCTCTTCTTCACAACAAACCAGTATAGAGTCTGCAATACTGCAGGCACTGCACCAATCCATCTGTCAGTCTCATACTCCATTCTTCCCTCACTAGTGAACAAAACCTCGAGATACTTAAACTCCTCCACTTGAGGGAGAACCTCAACCCGAAGAGAACAATCTACTCTTTTCCAACTGAGGACCATGGCCCCAGATTTGGAGGAGCTGATTCTCATCCCAGCCGTTTCACACTCTGCTACAAACCGCTCCAGTGAAAGCTGAAGATCACAGCACGATGACGCCAACAGGACCACATCATCTGCAAAGAGCATGGATGGAATCCTGAGGCCACAGAACCGGAGTCCCTCCGCCCCCTGGCTGCACTGAGAAATTCTGTCCATAAAAGTTATGAACAGAATCGTGACAACGGGCAGCATTGGCGGAGTCCAACTCCCACCCTGAAGGGGCCAGCAATGCGAACCAAACTCTCGCATCGCTTGTATAAGGACCGAACAATTCGTAACAACGGGCCCCCAATCCCATACTCGCGGAGCACCACCCACAGTGTACCTCGAGGAACACGGTCGAAAGCCTTCTCCAAGTCCACAAAACACATGTAGACTGGATGGGCAAACTCCCATGACCCCTCAAGGGCCCTAGTGAGGATAAAGAGCTGATCCAGTGTTCCACGGCCAGGACGGAACCCACATTGTTCCTCCTGGATCTGAGGTTTTACCAACGATCTGACTCGCTCCTCCAGTACCCCTGAATAGACCTTACCAGGGAGGCTAAGGAGAGTGATGCACTTGTAATTGGAGCACATGCTCCATTTCCGAGTAACAAAATCACGTTAGCTGTAAACTGACATGTTTGTCTATACTGTAAAAAATATACTGTCTGTAATCATTTTTTTAGATGTTTTGTGAACACAGCAGTTGAATACAAAATAGAATTGTCACTCTTGGAGGATGTTTTGAACGCAAAACAGTTTCATCAACAGTTAGTTCAATTTAGAGGTAAAATGTAGCTTTTTAAATCAGTATTTTTTTCAAAATAAATGCCTAGACTCCTTCAGTTAAACGCATATCGCTTGTTGCATTTCATGCCAGCTTTTACATTTAACATGATTGTAGATGTGTAGCTAATTATTACTGTTTTGCCAAAATCTGTCCAGTGATCCATGAGATATTTTCCTGACAGATCGCAAAGTTTATAAACAGTTCTGCTGTGATCAGCTGGTGCTCCGTTTGTTTTGGGCATGACTCTCCGCTACTAACACAACGAATTTTAGCTCAGTACTTTTTAAATGAACTGTTACAGCTGTTTTTGGTTTGCTTAGTTCGCTTAGCTGTGGTGGCCATCTTGAATAGTGCTGACTCCAGTACTTAATGTCATAGATGTACATCCAGTGATTTTTTTATTTAACAAACGAAAGCAGACACGGGCTAAAACATGATCGCCCTTTTGTTTTTGGTGGAGGGTGATTTATTACGTTGGTGAACGTATAGAACGCTTCTTTCTATGAGGCGGCTTAATAGAGAGTTGATGGCGTATTTAGTAAAAATCATAAACTGTCGGCTTCAAAGAGGTCAAATGTATTCATGTGATTTTTGTTTTCTTAAAATTGTTTATGTAATTTTTGTTACATTTTTGAACCACAAACGTTTAATTGTTGCAGTGCATTATAGGCACATCTCACTTTCACTTCTGTAAGAGCTTCTTTATTGTTGAATTAAACTGTTTGGCCATATGTGCTTTTATTCCCTTGTATAAATGCAGATGAACGTCCAACTATAAACACGATTTATTTTTGCTTCTTGTTCTAACGATCATATTTTGCCTGATCATCAGATCCGACCTGTGCGAGCTGGAAGATATCTGTGTAATTTCAGACACACTGGACAAACTTGTAAGTTTTTTAAAGTTTTTTTTTTTGTAAAAGAACAATTTTTGTCCAACATTTATTTATTTATTATGTACAGTGTTAAATGTTGCTTCACAACATAATTTCCTCTTGAATCTGATTGGATCAAGTTTTATCAGGTATTGTGGAGAGTTACTAATTTTTATTGTATTATTTTTTTTGCTCTAGAATTTGTTTGATTTGAATGGACAAGGCAGCCAGAAGTATACAGGTAAGAACTTTAAATCAGACATTTAAAAAACTACTGATCAGAAACTTTATTTACATCAACTGAAGCAAAAGTCTGAAGAGCAATTTTAATAGAAATTTGTCCCAAAACATTTTAAACTTCATTTCTGAGCTTAAATGCCAAATAGAAGCGTTTAAGATCAGTGTTTTGATTACAAAGCTTCAAACGGTAGTGAAGAATTAATCCAAATGAAGGCTTTGTGTGCTTAATATCTGTGTGGGCTGCAGACAAACTGTTGCACAGGTTTACTTTACCTTGCTGCTGAGTAAATTAATACATTTCGTAGAGTTTTGTCGTAATGTCATAAGTTTTGTCCACTCCCTCACCATACATTGAACGTGCCAGGCCAAAATCAGACATGGCTGCGTCTCGCATTGTTTAAATGGTTTAGATGATTTAAAATGGGTTGAGCTCTGTCCCTGTTGTTGCTCTTTAATGGTTCATTCATGGTTTGAGAAGTGTTCTCAGTGGAAGCAGCTCCAGCATCTCAACAGAGTACTGTTTCATCCATGTTTGTTAAAAGGGAAGTGGCTCATAACAGGGCTCTTGTGTTTGTGTGTGAATCTCCTAATTTATCTGAATTTAAATCAGTCCAGATGTCTTTCTGATGGGACTTTGGTAGATCACAGTTCCTGCAGAGTGTTTGCAGTCGTGGGCTGCATTGTTGTGACAAATCTACAGTCTTTCAAAGACAGCGATGTTTGCGTGCGCACACTTATCGTCATCAGCACCTGGAGTTTCCTATAATCTATAAGAAATTAAAGAGCATATTTTCACGCGGCAGTATGGGCCTCTGCATAGATACAGACGGCAGCTGGACCAATGCAGCGATTCAGATATTTAGATTCAAATATATACATCCTATCAGAAACCTTGAATGTTTTTTCTTGTGTGTAGCCCAGCTAGTGAGGTCCAGTAAAGGTTCCATAATGCCAGTGAAGAAGAGGAAATTACCTGATGACCATGAGCACAAGTGTAAAATTACCAGGTAAACGTTCACATTTTTTTCTTAGTCAATAACATGTGTGCCTTGTTTGTGCTGCAGGAGAACTGCTACTTGTTGAGTTCTGCAGAACCTGCAAAAAGCCCCGAGGACTGACAGACCTCCTGATTTGACTCCTTCCCTGACTTCTGCTCTGTGTTGCAGTTTCACTCGCCCTCAGATCTGCGGCGTGAAGACGTTTAACTCTGACAAGCAGTTTTCCAATAAACGATGCCTGGCCTGGTTTCACAAGTATGCCGGTCCTGACAAGGTGTTTGGACCGGAGGCCATGGAGAAGTTCTGTGAAGACATCGGAGTAGAGCCAGAGAATGTGAGCCAGCCTGCCGCCTCGTACGTTTGTTGGACAGAATGTGTTGTCTGCGTTCCCGTGTTGAATGAAGCGTCTGTGTTTTTGTTTCAGATTATTATGTTAGTTTTAGCCTGGCACCTAGAAGCAGCAAATATGGGGTACTTCACAAAAGACGAGTGGCTCAGGGGAATGTCACTATTACAGTAGGAGTTATTATAACTTTTTCTTTAAAGCCTGTTTTTTATTTACAAATAAGACTTACATGTGTCTTTTCATTTTTTTTCAGGTGTGACTGCACAGAGAGGTTACAGGGTAAACTGGATTATCTACACACTGAGCTCAACGACTCTGTAGTCTTCAAAAATATCTACAGATATGCATTCGACTTTGCCAGAGTGAGTTTGTTGTGTATTTTTTGTTTGAAAAACAGGTTTACGCCGTCTTGAGTGAAATTCTGTGGTTTGACTTGCAAGCGAGGTACAGGTGAACTCCAGGATCAAAGGTTTAATTGCAGAAAAAACGAGTGGAAACTGAACCATCTCGAGACAAAAACCTGGTTTTTGTTGCTGTTCTGTTAATCCCAGGTTTGGTTTTCAGTAAATTCAGAATTATAGTATTTTGGAAAGCATCGTTCTGTTCTTCTCAGGTTTTGGAAAGAAAAAAAAAATCATACTTAAACAATTTGAAATTGGATGTGGTGGCGCAGAGGTTAGAGAAGGTGGTCCTGTGACCGGAAAATTGCTGGTTCAACTCCCAGTATCAATGATGGAGATGTGAAAGGTCACAGATGTTTTTCACTTATTAATGTCAAATGTGTATGAACTACGTGTGGTGTTAGTGTTTTGTCTGGACAGAGGGGAGCTGCAGAAACATGGAGCTTTCAAACTCAAGGCCCTAAGCAAAGAGGCTGCAAGAGTTGTCTGACCTCGAGTCTGAGTCTGACTGATAACCGTTTATAAAATGACATTTTCTTATGCTCTTTTTGAGCAAACTTAGAGACGGAAGCGCCATGTAAACATCTTGATGCTTGTATTTCAACTCTGTTCCATCTTGCAAGATTAAACTGGGATTAAGAAAATTATGTACTCGCTCCTGTGTGGCATATTTATTCAATGAACTACTAAGGATAATATTAAATTATAACAACCAACAATATCAAAATGTGGGTGGGATAGGTGAAGCACCCACACCAGCCTCCTCCTTCATTTGCCCCACTCTGGGCACTTGAGCAAGGCCCTTAACCCCCACCATCTGCTCCCCTGGGCACCGTAGAAGGCAGCTCTCTGCTCCACACAGAGGGCTGTTTGAGCTCGGTGGTTGCGCCAGGAAGGACATCTGGTGTAAAAATATTGCCAAGTCTTAGTGTGACTTGGTTCTCTGTGGTGACCCCTGAAGAAGGGAGCAGCTGAGCCCCCACCCCCCCAGATGGGTGTTGAAAGGTTGCACCTCCAGTTTTTCATCTTTCATTCAGGAGGTAAGATGAGGCAGGTGTGTCATTTGGACTAAATGGGTTACAGGTTGTTGTGATCATTCAGTTTAGAGTTAAAACACTCTAAAGTGTTAACGTAAATTATTTGTGAAAACAGCTTGGTTTGAAACTGATAAATTATCATCTTTGTTTTAAATGTTAAGTTCTGTGATGCAGTAATAATCTGGACAAGTGCAGAGGATGAAAAGAAACTAGAATCTTCTTTGTACTTCAACGTGCCACTCACTGTTTTTGTTTTGGTCTCAGGATAAGAACCAGAGGAGTTTAGACATGGACACGGCTAAATCCATGCTGGCTTTGCTGCTTGCCAGGACATGGTCTCTCTTTCCCACCTTTCACCAGTTCCTGGAGGTAAAAGCACTTTCTTCTTGTCTGTAAATCATTTGATATGAAAACCAAACTGCATCGTATTCAAGGTCTGAAAGAACGGATCACAGTGGTTTATCTTAGAACGATGAAAGCATCAATTTATACACAAAAATCACAAGTAACATTAGCTGATATACATGCATGTTCCAGGATTAAAATCTAAAAAACAAGATTAAAACCTAAAGGTGATCGAGCTTTCAAGCAGCTCCAAATCTGTAGAACAATTTCTTTCAATTCAATATCTTCCTGAGGCTCCAGAACCATTACTGAAGGAGTCTGCGTGGCTGAGAGAGTGGATGGCTCCTCGTCCTGAACTGTGGCAGAGGGTGCCTCAAAACATTTCAGAAGTGCCCCTGAGTTTGCATTAAAATACCAAACATAAAACCTCTGATGCATCATACATCACTTGTATCAGTATCAAACATTCATAATTCTGTGCCTGACAAGGGTTAGGCTATAAAACCATTGTTAAGAAGTATCCTAATGTAATACTGACTAATTACATCACGCTTACACAACTTTCCCAAGTAATGTGAAGTAATTTAGGGACCGTCATACTGACAGCAAACGGCTTACAACTAAGACGAAACAAACAGGCCTACATATTTGTCCAATTTGTGAAATATTCAGAATAGGAGACAAATCGACACAATTAATAGTTAACACATTCCAAGCTACATCACAAGGTCATTGCCTTTAGTAATTAAAGTAGCCCGGTATTACTTTCCTACGTTGTAGTATAGTTTTAGAAGAATTTGGATCTTTAAAATGAATATTTTTTGCTGAAAACCAAATGTCGTCCTAAGCAACTAAATGTAAACAACAGTTAGCATCTTGTGTTATTAATTAAAAGTAAGCCCATCTTGCAACCTACATAACATAACAGCTCTCTAAGAGATGACCGCTGCATACCTTTTTATCTTTTGCTCGCTAAACTCTGTCTGCACCTGGCTTTGACCTTTTCTTGTCCATTTTCCATGTGTGTAATTGGCATTTCCCCAACATGAGTCAAAACAATTTAGGCCTAAACTAATTCACCATCCTTGAGTGAACTATTGGCTATATTCACAACATTATGAATGCAATGTGCTTTACAAAATGAAATGTGCAAATCAATGGTGTGATTTATTTAGCGATTCCATGCATCACCCCCCCCCCCCCCCCCCCCAAAAAAAAACAATTTCACAACCTGTGTATCAGACCTCAGCAGAAGCTACATGTCCTGCACCTGGAGGAGGACGCCCACTCCCCGCAAACTGATATGTAGACTAGACTGGCTATTTGAAATAATGTGTTTATTTAGTTGAGGAGGAGGGCGAAGCCGGGTACTCGTGCTGCCCTTGATGAGATGCCGCCCCGGGGCAGCTGTCTCTATCGCCCATATCAGAAACCGCCACTGATGGCGGCACTAAATTTTTACCATTCTTCCTTCACAACACTGACCGAGCAGCTATAATCCATGTCACTGCTTGTTTTCTTGCTGTTTTTCTCCTGTTACATTTTAAGTTTGTAAATTCATATCCTCATCTTCTTGCTTAATGTGTTTTTATAGTCTTTTGCACCACAGCTCTTTATTTTAATTCACCATCTGTTTTCAAGTTGGTTATACAGTTTGTGAGTCGAGTAACCTCTTGTGCATTCATGACAGAAGCTATAACAATCAACATGGAGTCAGGTTTTATAGAATATTTTTTATAAATAATCCTGTTTTACTAATGCTTATTTCTTTCCTATTGCCATTTTCCATAAATCTTTACAGCAGTCAAAGTACAAGGGATTAAATAAAGACCAGTGGTATAATGTTCTGGAGTTCAGCAGGACCATCAACACAGACCTCAGTAACTACGATGAAGATGGAGCTTGTGAGTTAGCAGCTTCACACCAAGTCAAAATGACACAGAAGATTTGAAGTCTTTAAAGACTTGTTTTTTTCTTGCGTGGTCTTGAACGCAGTTTGAGAGTCTGAGCAGTGAAAGTGTTATACTTGTTTTCTTTGCAGGGCCAGTGCTGCTAGATGAGTTTGTTGACTGGCAGAAGATGAGGTCAGCATCTTTATAGACTTCACCGCCAAACAGAGGAGAGGAAACCAGGACTACAAAAGTGCGGAGGCAAACATTTCGTACAGGAACAAATGAGTTTTTGGTTTCATAAACATGGACTGCAGAACCGTGGCTGTGGACTCTTGATTCACTCAGATCCCATCAGGTTGTCTCTGTGCAGTCAACCAACTGTTAACGGGACCGTTCTATCAGTAAAATATTTTTCTTTTAATATTGTTAGATTGAAAGAAAAAATATGCAGGTGAAAAGTTCTTTAGGAAACAAAATGAACTAAAAGGTGTGTGGGAATCGTTTCCTGACGCGCATATATATATATATATATATATATATATATATATATATATATATATATATATATATATACACACACACACACACA